CTGCGGCCTCTGCGGTCACCACGCTGGGCGCTTCGAGGACTGGGTGAGATGCGGGCCGCTGCCTTCTGCATGTCTGGGACCAGGTTGCGGCAGTGCATCTGAAAAGGCCCGGGACAGAGCTAGTGGAGTGTGGCCGGGGCAGGGGGAGAGTGTCATCTCGGGTTCCCGGGAGTGAGCACATTCCCTTTACGTGGGTGGTGGAGTTAGGAGCGGTTTGGAAAAGTGAGTCTGTCCTCTGTTCCAGAGGCCCTCGTTCTCCCCACTTGGCTCCCTCTCAGCGTCCCAGGCCCGGGACTCCTTTACTCTTCTTCCCTCCCGCTTCTTCGTCTGGATTTGGAAGGGGTTCCTGGGCTGTTTGGGTTATCAGCAGAATGCCTCACTGATAGCAAATTGATTCTTAAATTTTTTTGTTTGAAGTTTGTTGCGACTGGTATTGGTTTATCCCTCTTTATCTTGCTCCTCTGCTTTTAAAGTTCCTAACCCCCATAAAACACTTTGGGGTTTAACTTTCTTTTTTTTTTTTCTTTTTGTCTTTTTTCGTGACTGGCAACGGGATCGCAACCCTCGGTGTCGCGCCCGCACCGCGCTCAACCAGTGAGCCGACCGGTCTCTATATGGGATCCGAACCCTCGGCGGGAACGCCACCAGGCTCCCAAGCGCCGCACTCAACCGAGTGCGCCACGGGCCGGCCCGGGGTTTAACTTTCAGAGTCGTTGTTGGTGGGATGCTACGTTTTCCACTAACCTTCTCTGTTTAAACGAAGCCAACCTTGTAAAACACTTACTATAATTTCGTTCACAATATTTATTGAGCTCCTACTTACTGTGTTAGACACTGGGGACAGTAGTCTATCCAAAGAGACTAAGGTCCCTCCTCTCAACAGAGGTTACAGTCTAGGGGGAAAGACAATAAATAGGCCTATAAATAAATGAACAAGATGATTTCAGATAGTGATAAGTGCTGTAAAGAAATACAACCAGGTAATGGGGGAGGGTGGGGAAGGCCTCTCTGACATTTGGGCTTCAACTTGAATGAAGACAGGAATCCAGCCATGTATAGTTCTGGGAAAAGAGTGAACAGCAAGTGAAATGGGAAGCAGCTTGGCAAGTGTGAAGAACAGAAAGGACACTTCTGTGGCTGCATTAAAGCAAGTGGTTGGAGATGAGGTCAGAGAGGCAGGCAGTGGCCAGATTAATGCAGGCCCTAAAGACCACAGTAAGGAGTTTGGATTTTTGTCAAAGTGCAGCGTGAAGACACTTTTTGAAAGAGCTTTAGGTTACTGAGTGAAGAATGGATCGTTGGGGGATAAGCGTGGTAGCAGGGAGACCCATTAAGAGGCCTTAGCAGTAGCCTAAGCACTGAACAATGTTGGTTCAGTAATTGTTGGCTATTATAGTTTTTATTATTCTCTGTCATAAATTTAATAGCTTGATAATCTTGGTTCTACAGCATTTTAGATATGCTTGCATGAAAGAATGATATCTTCAGTTCTCCCCCAAGAAAAACTAGTTCGATGGAACTGTGGCAGAAGTCTTGCTGAAGTACAAAAAGGTAAGATATTTGTTTTTTGTCAGTCAGAATACTATAGTTGTTATACTACAGGCTAGTAGATATAAAATGAATTTTAGATATCAATGTTGAAGTCAAATATTTAATACCATGATATTGTCAGCTAAACTACAGTAATAATGTCCTTGCTGAGGTTTCACCTCTTCAAATGCTTTATTTACTAGTATTTTTTAAGAACTTTAGTAAGTGCTAGAATAAAAAACCATTAGAACATTTTATTTCTTAAGGAATTACCTAAGCATTACTTTGGACAATAAATCAGCTCTGTTAATAGAGGTTTTTGTTTGTTTTTGCATTAGTTTAGAAGTGATACTACTAAATCTTGGGCCAGCCCGTGGCTCACTTGGGAGAGTGTGGTGCTGATAACACCAAGGCCATGGGTTCGGATCCCATATAGGGATGGCCGGTTAGCTCACTGGGTGAGTGCGGTGCTGACAACACCAAGCCAAGGGTTAAGATCCCCTTACCGGTCATCTTTAAAAAAGAAAAGAAGTGATACTACTAAATCTCAGCAGTAGAGGGAAAATGTAAATGCACATTTATATATAATATCCATTTATATCCACATGCATATATGAATGGATACTATCTTAGTTCCCCTTGAATTAGATCATTACAGAGGTTTTTTTCTCATGCTTCTTTAGAATTCTTAGGAGTATCAACTATCATATTCAAATGTCAGTACACAAGTATTGCTAAATATGAATGGCTTTTTAGTTGTCATTTTCTTTTTTCTAAGCCCCCTGGCTTCACTGACATGAGGTTTTAAAACTTTTCTAGTTATGAGTTTATAATTCACAATTGATATGTGTTACAAAGTTCCTTTTGTAATTTCATCAGATGTTAAGGTATATAAAGTCCTGCTGTTGATGTGTAACAGGAAACCAAAGCAAGCATAACTTTTTTTTTTTTTCCTTCTTCTTGTTAAGGGAGAAAAAAATGATTTTGAGTTGTTGAAGAACCAGCTGTCAGATCGAGACCTAGGTAATTAATTTTGTGCCTTCTTCTTGTTAAGGGAGAAACAAATGATTTTGAGTTGTTGAAGAACCAGCTGTCAGATCGAGACCTAGGTAATTAATTTTGTGTTTGATCATTAGCAAAGTGATTGCCACTTTGTACATACATCAGTTTGCACTTTTGGTCCTTTTTCTTCCTCCAGAACTTGTTCTCTCCATGATGCTTTTTTTACCTTAATCCGATAGTTCCCAGCCAGGGGCAGTTTTACACCTGAGGGGACATTTCACAATGGCTGGAGATATTTTTGGTTGTCATAACCAGGAGGGAGAAGTGCAGCTGGCATCTAGAGGGCGGATGAGGAGAATGATGCTGAACATCTTACAATGCACAGGTGGCCCCCACAACCAAGAATGATCCAGCCCCAAATGCCAGCAGTGCTGAGGCTGGCAAACCCTGCTCTACTCATTCCTTCCTACTACCTCTTTCCTATGTGCTTCATGGAACTCATGTCTCTCCAGTTCTAAAGCAAAGTAAAACGAAAAATACAACAAAAGGTGACTTAGCTCTATACTGCTACTCTTTCAGCATTTCCAAGTTCAAGAGACATACTTGTCATGTAGTAACAACTCAATACATTTTGTTTTCCTTTTCTTCCTTTACTGCCCAATTTTGGAAAGAATAGTCTTTTAATATGGCAGTGGTAGTCAGATTGCCTGAGATAAAATCCCAACTTCATTGTTATCCTGTGTGATCTCAATCAATTGTTTAACCACTCTGCCTCTGTTTTCTTCTCTATAAACTAGGTTTTTAAACAGAGATTTTTAAAGAGGATTCAATGAGTTAGTATATAAAAGCACTTAGAAGAGCCCCTGACCCAAAGTAAGGGCTTTGTAATTGCTAGCTGTTCTGTTCTTGCTGAAGGTCTGCGCTTTCTCATTTTTTGTTCACATTTAAGTCCACAGTTCTTATCACTGCTGTAATTACCCTGACAGAGGTTACCAGTGATTTGTTACATGCTTCAGTGGACTTTTAAAAAAAGCCTCACAGGAATTCTTTGTAGCATTTGGCACTGTTAGCCACCCACTTCCTAAAACCTCCCCTTCAATGTCTCTGATCCTCCTGTCTGCAGATCGATTATCTCTAATCACCCTTTTGATAGGTTCTTAAATTTGGTGTTGATTGGATTTTCAAACTCAACCCTTTTCTCACTCCACAGATTCTTCCTGTGTGATCTCCTTGTGCCCTAGTGGCTTTGAAATCTGTGTCCTGATAACTCCCAAATTTGTATCTATAACAGATTGCTGTTGTGGGCTTCAGACTTGCTTCTTAACTACTTGCTAGATGTATTTGCCCAGAATTGTTACAGATGCTCCAAATTTAGCATGTCTTAAAACAAACTCATTATCTCTTTCCTAAACCCCTCCTTCTGCAGCCTTCTTTATGTGCTTAACTGTTTATTGCTTACCCAGTTCTTGAGCTAGGAACCATGAAGTCTTTCTGGACTTTCTCACTTCTCATATCTGTTCATTCATCAAGTCCTTTGGGAAAAAATTCCTTCACGTTTTCCCATTTTGCTGGTGCTCTCTTGTCTGAATTCTTCCAGTAATCTCTTTAGTGGTCTCTAGGTTCTTGTCCTCTTCTGTCTCAACCCTCTCCACCAACCAAACTTATCCTCAACAGTGTAGCCTGACTCATCTCTCTAAAGCACATGCCAAGCATGTCATTCCCCTACTAAAAAAACATTGTACCTATGAAAGAATAAAGGACCAGGTTCTTAGCAAGGCCTGCAACATTTTTTTCTGTATTCAGTCTCACTAGATACTTTATTCCCTGAATCTGACACATCTCATCTTTATGCATGTACATTTTCTTTCTGTATTCATTTACTTGCCACTTATTTGAGCATGGGCTCTGGCTACATCACTAGCTATGTGGCCAAGGGCAATTTACTGCATTTCTTGGCTTCAGTGTCCTTATCTACAGAATGAGTATGAATACTAGTACCCACCTCATAGAATGGTTGTAAGGATCAAATGAGTTAATAATGTATGTTAGAATAGTGCTCTGCAGGGCTGGCCCGGTGGCGCACTCGGTAGAGTGCGGCGCTTGGGAGCACGGCGGCGCTCCCGCCCAGGGTTCAGATCCCATATAGAGACCGGTCCGCTCACTGGTTGAGCGCGGTGC